TATGAGTGGAGCTCATTTTACATCTTTTATTCAGTAGCCTAAAAACCTGCATTAACCATTAGAGGAAGCATGTGAAATATATACCTTCTCTGTAACAGAAATGTCAGTTCTAACATGGAGACACAGTGAGGTTTAATAGCAAGCGAGCATTCTACACAAGTATCCAAATAATGGAAGTACTGAAATTGGGACACAGTAAGAAAAAAAAGCACTACGGTTTTAAGCTGCCTAGATCATCTCTTGTTGGAAAAAGAGAAAGATATTTTGTTCTTCCTTCTTTCCTTATCTGGAATGCTGCAGACAGCAAAAAGTCTGCAAAAAGTTGAGCATTGGCACCAAAGTGCAAAAAGAACACAGTGCTCAGTCAGAAGAAATCTGTCTGCAACTCCTTCTCCTCTACAGACTGCCACACCATCTCTGCTCCGCAGAGAGGAGAACCTTGGAAAAGAAAGAGTTACAGAGATACCAGTATAAAATTTATCCAAAGAAATATATTTTTTCAAATTTTAGCAAATGTTTTATTTTTATAAAAAACTTCATTATGTGATATCATATATTTACCTGAATAATCTGAAAAAAATTCTGTAAATTACTCCAGTAAGAGATTTCACATGAAATATCTGAAAAAACTATATCTAAATTAGTAAAGATCCTCCTTCCTGCACAATTACCACCTGCTCCAGTGAACAATGATTTCCAGACTTTTTTTGTTCACTTTCATATAATTAAGAATCAGTTTCAAAAATACAAGTATTTGTGCAAAAGAAGATCATACCCTCTAGAACTTCATTTAAAAAAACCCCAAAACTCTAAGATTGTTAAGAAGTGGTTATAAAAATAAACAAGAAAGACTGTAAGGAAATATAGACCAAAAATGTTAAAATGGAGTTTGGTATTGGCATTTGAGTCGTGAACATCTGGTCATTGTTGCTAGTCTTGGTGGATTCAGTGGAGTCATGATGACTAGGAATGACTACAGTTCTTCGTGGTCAGTGACATTTTTATTTCTGAAAGAAAAAAAATTATATGGAAGGTTACATAAGCATTTGTAACAGATACTATGTCAGTGTCACATCAGAGTCAGAAAGTAACTTTCTCTACGCAGGGTTCCTTAGATTTTTTTACAAAGGAAGGTTATTTCATTAAAAAAAATGTTGCATTGACTAAAACCCCCTTCAGTCATTAAGCATACAGTACTACACTTTTTCAAAGTACTTATCTTACTTTAGAACATTTTTTCCCTTCCCAAAATCCTCACGTTATTTTAATTGCAGCCCCTTGCACAGTTTACTGAAAATTTTAATCCACAACCTAGAACATAAATAAAAAAGGAAGGTACTTGTTCAATTCAGTAATCCTTCAGAATCAGAATGCAGTATCTTTTATTAGAGAAAACAAGTATACACCAAGAATACTGCTGTAGTCATCAAAGCTTTCATCGCCTCAGAAACAAGTATGCAAAATTCATTGCATGACTCCATTGCCTTAGCACAGGAGAGAAAGGCTCTTGACAGATACTCAAGGCACTTCAGGTGGCTTTCTTTTGTTTAGATGACTAAATTTTTTCGCCGAAGTTTAACTGAAAGGCATCATCAGTCAAACAAGTCTCCAGGTCTGACACAAAAGCAGCATGGAGAAATGTCCTCTTTTATTCTCTCACAAGCATTGAAGACAGGAACCTGTAAAGCAACTGACAAACTCACACAAGAACAACTGACACACTCCAGTCCTTTGCAAACAAGCATTCCACAATGTGTATGTTTCTCAAAAATGCAAAAAAACCCCAAAAAACCCTCAGACAATGGAAGAAATTCTTTAAATGGTTTTTTTCCCTGAATAAAATTTTTACAAAGCAGTTAATTTTTGATGAAGGAATAGAATCAACTCTGCAGCTGGTCACCAATGTAGAAACGTGGTACAAACCTGCCAAAATATTTTTTTCCTCCCATGGACCAGTTCCCTCTAAAAAGATGTCATTACTTCTATGGGATATATTGTGTTGAACACTGATTCAGGATTAAGACAGCATGAAGGACCTGGCACATTCTACACACATGTAAGAGAAGAGGCAATTCCTGCTTCCAAGACCTTTAAATTCACACTGATTAATAATGAATTCAAAATGTGATGGTAGCACATAGAATAGTAAAACCCTGCAAATCCAAACCATCTGTTCTGCTGTCTCAGTGTATCTTTATACCTTAGATCCTACGATGGAAGTGCTGAAAATGTGCAAGGGGTGGTTTGAGAGTGCATGTTTAACGTTGCTGTGTACCAAGGGACCAGTGAAACCACCCAAAGCACAGGCATTCTCCTTACTGCAAACAGCTCTCACAAAACTGATGTGCACTTTTCCAAGCCTTCCAGAACATTTATGTGATGTGGAGACTCATCAACATCCCCCTATCTCACAGTTCAGTACAGTTCCCTGTCCTCCCCAGTGCTTTTAAACCAAAGCTGGTGCATACATGTTATACCCATTTTCAGTGTCACTAAGCAACAAAGACATGAAACAAATTCAACTGAATGCTGAAATAAAGGTACAATGAAAAACCAGATATTTGTGCAGTGTTTCTTATTTTTGGTGCTTTTCCCCAACTGTCCCTCATAAGCAACCCCACCTCCAGTGTTATTTTTGGTTTCCAGCATTATCTAATGTGAAAGTAATTTTTAACAGTATTAATGCTACAACATGGATATCCAGATGAGTGCTCATCTAGCACTTCCAAATGTGATTCATGTTTTCTCCTGGTTTGTACATTTATAAACAAAAAATATTAATTTCTTTTTCGAATACAGAATAATCTGACCAAATCTGAATAAATTTTCTGGAGGCAGCCCAAACGCAGTTCTACTGTGTTTTACATCCTGAAAAATTATGCAAATTTACATGCTGAGAAGCTCAGAGAAAAACCAGCCAGAAAATACTGTCTGAACACACATGACCAAAACAAACACTGCAGTTCTAGCACAATCTGTACAAGGTCAGGAAGGGAATTAGAACCACTTTGACAGAGAAGATGGCTAAACTTCCTGTCTGCAGACAGAGGGCAGGTCATCTTACTCTCATCCTCGTATTCTCCATGGCACTCAACATTGCTGCTCTATGCAGTACTGCACACAGCAGGAGTTCAGGACAAACTCTCAGGAGGGTTATGTGTACAGTGATGAGACCCAACAACTCTGCCAGGAGATGTGAAAAACTCTTGCCACAACATCCCACCATGGGCAGTCTCTTAAATGACCATATCCATGTCAACATCTGGCAATGGATTTTAGTCCTCCCCTTCCTCAGCCATACACAGGCACCCTCACTACTACTCAGCTGTTAAGAAAAGAGACACTTGTAGGTAGATTAAATAAACTAAAGCTTTAGTCTATGTCTTTCAGCTGAAAATATGCATCTGTGATCAGACTAGCTCAGGAAGAATCCAATTCCTTGATAACGGTCATGCTCCATGGAACAGCATTCAACAGATGCACTTCATATCCTCTCAACTGATACTTGAATTTTTTCTCTTCTGGATCCCAGAAGTGATACTCAACAGTTAAATCTTCAGCTTTTAGGAAATTCAGGCACAGCAATAAAATTGATCTTTTTAACATGACAGATTATTAGGCTTATGTGAAAAACATCCTCCCCTGTAGTAGCTTGCACCAAATTTGGAATCAAGTCAGTATCTCATTTTTCATATATTCTGGCACTTCAGGGCTGTGCTGAAGTCTGCTAAAGCCGCAGGTTGAAATGTATAATGGCTAGTTTCCTTGGGTAAAGAATTTTGTTCCATACTATGCTTGCCTCCACAGGACATAGAAGTCTCCTGTCCATGGGCCACAACCACCGTTGTATAAAATACTGAACCAGGGAAATAAGAATCATGACTACTCCCATTTCTTTAAAACTTATAAAATGTATTTATTTTACCTTGTCTGAACCTACATCAACACTGATCAAAGTGCATATTAAAAGCTCAAAGTTGTACTAAAACAATTTTCCTTCTTGAGATGTCCCAATAACACCGCTGCTCTTCTAGCTAGATACAGAGGCTGGTCAGTAAAAAAATCAGAGGTCTCCTAATGAAGATTTAAACCACCGGGTTTTACATTTCTTTATAAATCTCTCCCACTGATATACCCATTTATCCATTAACAAAACCTTTTTCTTGGATCTGAAGCTACCATTAACAAAAACATCAATTTTGAAAAAACCTGAAGCTTGAGTCTCATATCAAGAGCATGACAAGCACAGGAAATCTGAAGCTTTACACCCCCAAATGGTTACAGAGCTTTAAGACATTAATCTATAATGAGTGCAAGGGCATATTTATTCAGTGTTCATCCTGCTCCTTCTATTGAATACATGAAGGAGAACTGTACTGTGTTTCTTTCCTTTTTTTTCCTCAACCTAGAAAGGAGAGCCTAATAAATTAACATGACTTCAAACAGCTTTTTCAACTGATAAAGGGCTTTAAAATTTGAGCTTCCAATACATGTACCTTCTTGACTGGGAAATGATAAAAGGCTAAAAATTTCAGTGTGTTTAGGATTAAGGATTAGCTGACTAAACTGAAATGTCAAGTGTGTCCCTTCACTACTGAAAACTACACAGTCTTCCCACTAAACAAGCAAGATATTAGGCAAGGACTATAATTGTGCAGGTAAACAGAGAAGTGTAACACATCCCTCATATTTTGCAGAAATAGCTCAAACCCACTTCAATATAAACTACAACAACTTGATCAGCCATTGCAGAAAATGCTGTGTGAGTACTGTGACAAAACTGGGAGACATATATAGGAATATTTGCAACTGAAATTAATGCCAGATTAGATCTAAGATAAAAATTCCTATACTAATAGCCTTCCATTAGCACCTGTTTCAACTCACCCTTCTGGGAATTCCTATCTTAAAGATGCCCCATATTTTTCAGCTGAAAAAACATGAATGCAACAGCAAACTGATGCCATGTTTTCCTGTGTTAATTACCTACATAAGCTTACCTGAAGTATTTGCTTGAGGGCATTTTTTATTTTAGTCTTCATCTTCCTCAGCAAGCTCTGTTTCTTTGTGCACCACCACTCTCGTCACAGACATGTCAGGGTGCTGTTCTTTGGCTTCTTTGATTGCCTGTGCCAGGGCCTGCAAACATATTTGAAATATGGAACTTAACCAAGAGGGCATTCATGTGGGGCCAGAGAATGGGAGAGTATCTTTGGAGAATTTGGTTATAACTTTTCAGAATCGTAAACTCCTTGAGGAACTTGAGATCAAAAGGTAAAAAACTTGAACTTGAGATCAAAGGTAAAAAAATCAACCAAACCCTAAACCAAACCAATTCCCAAAACACAAAACCCAAAAGAAAGAAAGAAAAAAAACCCCAACCAACCCACCCCCACCACTATCTTAAAAATTTACAAAGATTTCCAGAAAGTAACACGTAAACATAAAGTTTTAAGATAACTTTCTAGCTCATCTTAGGTAAAAAAAAAAAAAAAAAAAAATTCTACATCACAGAACTTTGTGAACTTCTGTGAAGGATCTAACAAATATGCCTTAAGAGTTTAAGATAGCACAGAAAAACAAGAGTGCCCTTCAGTCTCCTGAACAAAACAGAAAGATACTTTGGAATGTAGACTAAGTGTGGTACTGAAACTCTGGATTAAGATCATAATAAATTTCTCAGCACATTTTTCTCCTTGTACTAGTTTAAGAGAAATTTCTCTAGCTTAATTCAGGGAAGTGTAAATGCAAGTATCATTCAGTTGCTTATAATCCCTCCCCATTTTAAGAAATTTTATCATTTAAGAGATGTACCAATATAGCCAGTTGGATCAGATGACCACCATAAGTCCCTTCCAACTGAAATGTAATACTTTATTCTGCATCATAGTCAACCACATAAGAGCACACTCTGAATCATCACAGGTGAAATAGCACCTGGGGCCTTCTCTTTCTTGCCCACATCTTAGTACACATCATATTTCAGTGAGCTGTATTACTGCTGGAACCTAACACAAGGAAAAAAAAAAACCAGAAAACATGGGAAGGTATTCAGAAGCAACTAAATGCAACTAAACCTCCCCCCGCCCAAAATACTAGAAGGAGCAATAAAAATATAATGCAACAAAAAGGTTTATCATAATTTAGAAAAGTGACTATTTCCTGAGCTAGCTACAGGTATTAAGTGAGAGAAGATATAACTAACTCTGAAGAGAGACTGAAAACACCAGCACCATAACTATTATGTGACACTGAATTTGAAATCCTATTAAGGGAATACGTACAGGACACATGATGTGCATTGGTACAATACTGACATTTGATGTTTGTTAGCAATCAAACCATAAACCCATAAATAATGAAAAAACCCTAAGACTCTATCTGGTAAATTACAGCAAGTAATAAAAACATTCCTATTCTGAAAATCCGCACTGAAACATTGTTTTCCTATTGAAAACTGTATTAATGATATAGGGAGCTAATAGACAAAATAAAAAAACATCCAGCATCTAGTTTGGGCATTTAAGAAACTCCATATTCACTTAAGAAAATGTGGTAGATCTTTCTTAAATCTCTTAAAAGCTGCTCGCTGCTGTTTTAAACAGTGATTAAAATTGTATTTTGTATTTCCTTTTTTATAATTTCACTTTTTACTTCATTATTCACTTATCCCAACTTAAAGAAGGGCTCTGGGAATTGTCTGGTACACTAAAGCTATTTTGTGACCTTTCCAGACATTTGAAATGCACTGTGTGTCAAGGCAAACAAGATCCATCCATGCCTGATGCTAAGCAGCCATGTCATTTAATTATGAATTTCAAGAAGAGATTCAACTTGCCAAAAGACACTTCCTGGACACAAATCAAAACATGAAAATAAATTCCTTGAAAACTCTTGATATATTACAATTCATAAGTTAAACTGAACCCTATTATGCTGATTTGTGAAGTCTTCACAAAATTAGAAATGTATTCACTGCAAGGTAGGCTCTTCCATTTGTATTAACCAATGACTGTTGATTGCCATTGTTACTCTAGTTTCTTAGATGAAAAAAAAACCTGTGTAATCATCACTACAAAGACTAGATAATTGACTTTTCTCAATTATTTTCCTGTGTAGTGCTCAAATTCAGCCTTATTAATTTGGCATGTAGAAGTGATCTTAGCCTTAGTTACTAAGATATTGTAAAATACTGCTTTAGTACTGATGGAGATAAAAGGTACATACAATTACAGCACACCAACAATTACATTTTTTACACATAATTCTACAAATACTGGCCAAAACCTAATTTTTAAATTCAAGCAGTTAATGTTCTAATGTATTTTAAAGCTTTCAATCAAAATGAATGCTGCATTCAGATGTTGTTGAAACAATGCAGTAGAGACTCCCATCTATCCAGATCAGCGTATCAAAATAAGATTACTTCAGTAATGCTTTTCCTCCCAGTACAAAAGCTGCACTAAATAAACTGGGTCTCTTCCAAAAAGAGTAATCCCTCTAAAAATAGCAAAAACCCATTCACATGATCTATGATGCAAATTTACAAATGCTGTTTTTCTTTCACATATATTCAAAAAGGCTTCTTAATAGCAAAACACAATTGCTTAATAACTATGCCACAATAAATAGTCTCAGGTTCTTTCTATATTGTTTTATTCAATTTTTTCTACCTTTTCCTTACTGATTTCAGATTTCTGAAACATCATCTAGATCTCACCAGAGTACAAACCCCACATTTGAAGTGTTAAGTTTGCATACTCACCTCGTCATGGTCAATATCTGCATCTCCGGTAATGACAATGCGCTTCTCAATTCTTGTTTCTGATACTCCACCTTTTACCATCTACAGATGTCAGAAAAATTAAAAAAAACAGAATAACATCCTTGTAATTATTCCATATTTCTACAAAGCACAGCCTTCTGTTGCACTGAAGCAAATAGATTTCTGCATCTGAGTTGCATCAGTAGTAAAGGTGTTCAGTGCTAAATCATTCTCTCCTTTTTCAGCTATGCAGTTGGTCACTTTCTAGCAATTGTTAAACTTGATATAAATCAAGCAATAGAGAATTACTCCTGTTGCTAGAGCCCATCTTTGGTAAACTGTAATTTCAGGTTTTTTCGCCATAGAAATCTGACAACATGGAAATTCCAAGAGTCTTTTATTTCAACCCATCTATCATGGGCCTCTCCAAAGTCTTATTATAGTCTCCATTAAATACAAAGATGATGTGGTTTTCAGTTCTGTCATTCAAGGACCTTTATCAGATATTTTCAACATATTTCACGCTGCTGAACAGTTTTGTGCTTTTTTTCTTCACTTCTTATTCTAATGATTAAAACACCTCAGCTTATAAAAAATTCTCACAAAATAATATTATTTGCCTTTTAAATCAGCCTGAAAAGAATAAACTACTACTTAAGATACACTGAACAGGGAAGAGCCAAGATGACTCCATTAGGAACACCATTAGAATATTAAAACTATTTTGGAAGGTCCCTTCGTCAGTAATGAACAGTTTGCAATGCAAAATAAAAAGTCAGCTTAGAAAATTCAAATAATTTTGTTACTAACTGTTTATCATCAATTCAACAGACATAAGGTTCTGCTGCATCATGGTAATTCCAGTAATTTTTCAGTAGAAGACAAGACTGAAACCATTTTCTTTAATTGCTTCCAAGAAGCAAGACTATTTGACATCTGGACTTGACAAGAAAATGTACACTTCCAGTCAAAACTGTGATTCAATTAATTGAATAAAGGTTTTTTCCTAAAGTGATGGTGCCTTAATGACTCCAAAAAGGAGCAGGAGTCTGAAAAGGATCTGTTGACTAGTCTTTATAACATTTTTAACATATGTATTTTTAATTCTGAGCTTACTTTATTTCATGTGACTCACTTTCCAATATTATTCTTCCACTATCATTTTGTGCATATGACTTTCAATCTTCAGAATATTTCAATCTTTAGAAAATAGATCCAGTGAGCAGTGAATTATTATTCAATTCTGTCATGTTGTAAAAAATCCTGAATTCACACTTTGTTTCCTTCTTCCATTTTTCTTTACCCTAAACAATGCTTTCTATAATTTTCTTAGAAAAAGATGCTAAGGGTTCAAAGAGGAGCTGAAAACTGTGTTGTTTAGACATGCCGAAAATCTGAGAAATATTTACATAAATTAGCAATAACAACAATCATCATCATGCTTTGGTAGTTTTAACACACTCTGGCATGAAACATCACATTTCATGTTTTCCATGAAACAGATGTGATGTCCTATTAACACTGAGTTTTCCTTTCCTTTTCAAGCATGGAATGCAGAGGAAATAATTCAGCATCCAAACACGCTTGCAAAGCTGTCTAACAGAACGATCTGTTTTTAAATACACCCTAAACCTATAAGCACGAGGATGATGAACACATGGGAAGTCTGGGAAACATTGTTTCAGTTCATCATGGTGTCATTAACAGGTCTCCAGTGGACCTCAGACAAGTTAGTTACACTAGCAAAGATTCTGTAGGATATCAGTGGGTGAGGACAGGACTGAACCTGTAAAAATTTAGTTACATACTCATTTGTGAAATACTGAAATAAGGCCTATATGAACTACTGAAAAAACACTTGTCATATTTTTCCCCCTTTCCATGTCCTATTCCCAGATACTCCTGCTTATTTATTAGGACTTCTGCCTTCAAAATCTGTACAGAAAGATTTAATTCTCACACATGCCTGGAATGAATCCCTTCCATTTCAAGTTAGTTTTCCTCAATAAATTAGCAGACGTACAAGATACTTCATGTAAAATTGTGTTTTGAGGGTCTGGTGTCTTAATCAAGAAAGACATGAAATATAATTTACCTTTGTGATGTGTGTAGTTGTGGTAGTAGAAATGGACTCTGATGTAATTGTCTGTGCACTCACCAGCACACCAGTATCACCAACAGCATTGCCATCAAGCTATAAGAAAAAAAAGGTATTATTGTATATTGGCATTTAAAAAAATTGTTTTCACAGGAGAAAAGCCTAGTTTTCTTGCTAAACACATTCTTTAATTCAGCTAGGACTGAAATCTAAATAGAAGCCAGGCAAGTTTACAGAGTCAGGTATGGCTATTATTATGGCCCATTTCTGTGGAGAATTCATGCTCACAGTTATGTGTTCCTTTCAGGAGAAATGAGATATTTTAATCAAGTTTCAAAACTGGATTAAAGTGAGTTATACTTTTGCAGTCAGCAACTAAGTCTTTATATAACAAAAGAAAATTAAAACTTCTTAAGTAATATGGTTTTGTAACACTTCACTTACCTAATTCATAGCCAAAGTATAATCTTATCCGCTAGGAAAAATGCTTTTGAAAAGCATTTTTGAACATTATCTATGTTGATCTACGTAACTGTAATAAAAATAAGATTGCAAACAAACCCATCAGCATACCTGCGAAGATTCATATGTGATAGTTTTAGTTTCTGTTTGAACAATTGGAATTTCTTTAGTGGAGATTTCAGTTCTCTGTGTGGCATCTGAAATGGTTACCATCTCTGTTTTCACTACTGGAGGCTGTGATGCAAGAAATAAACAATCCATTCAGAAGACAGAAGAAGTTTTGTAAAATGGACCAAGAAAACACAACCAAAAGCTCAAGGAAAGCATAACAGTAAGATAAGCATTTGACTGACTTCCCATACAAAAAGCATGCAATAAATAAGCAAAATGAAATGAAGATTAATACATCAGCCCTCTAGGATATCCATAACATTGTAGGAAAATTTAATCTCCTAATAACATTGTCAAAGTTCAGTGTTTCAGCTAACAGTACATACCAAAGAGCAATTGCTAAAACAAAGGTGCAACATGTACTGAAAATGTGTAAAAGCATGACTATGAAAAAAAGAAAAATCTTCGTTTGCATAAAGAAATTGACAGCTAGATCAGACAGATAAACTTTGTATTAGAACTAATCTGGGAAAATACCTATCACTCGTCAGTCTGCAAATCAGGACTAAAAATTCCATAAACATTTAACTTTCTAGTATGTATTACTAGTGGAAAAGAAAAGCTTTTGCAAACTGGATTTTAAGCAGTCTAAATTTTTCTCTAAATCAATGACCTCTTTTGGCAAACATTCTAAAAAGCTACTTCAACAATTTAGAGTAAACTAGTGGTGTTCTCATCAACATCACAAATAAAGCAATTAACCTGGGGTCTGTAAGCTAGTGAACTCATTACTTATCTTATTGGAGCAGATTTTCATTAGATTTAAGAACTAAAGCCTTTTGATATTTCCTTATATATTAAGAAAATTTCTTATACATTTTCTTAGCTTCTATCTTATACTGATTTTGAATACACACAGGGTAAAATCCCAGGAAAAAAGCCCAAACACCCTTTCAGGCTTGCACACACAGCAGCACTTCTTCCCCTTTCTCCAGACTATCTATGCTTTTAGGAAGTGTGGGAACTTGCAAATTTTAAAAGTCTAATAAACTAATTCTTTCACATCATTAATCAGAACAGCTGTGTATGCAAAAGACAACAAAAGAAAGAATATGAGTTGTTTCAATTTAAAAAGTGAAGAAAAAAAATTTGCCACCATTACAAGAACAAGCAGGTAGAGAACTACAAAAACTCACCGAACTGGTGAAAAACTCAGCAGAAGATCATGACAAATTTACTAAGACATACATGCCTGCCTTTCATTTTTTCCCTTTCTGCTTCTTTATCACTTGCCCAGTAATGAACTCTCCAGCCTTGTGTGGCTTAAAACAAGTGGCTGTGACAGGAACCCATGCATGCTCCCTAAGTATCTACTGCACTAGAAGACTTCATGGAAACATAGTGATACGAGCCTCACCACTTAACAGTGCAGTGCTCTCACCTCTGCAATTTCTAGCCATACATATTCTAACCTACAAATCCATAATGTTTTATTGAAGGAGGGTAAAAAGACAAGAAAAGTAGTGAGTGAGTACGGGGAAAAAAGGAACAAAAATTTCTGACAGGTGCCTTCTAATTTCAATTTGCAATAGTTTTCCAATAACAATTACATGTCATGGACTTGTCAAAAACAGTTGACAAATAGACAAGACAAGACTTAAAACACTGGAAACATGTAAATAATAAATACACATTACGCATGTGCATATAAAATACGGAGGAGATAAAAAAAAAAGAGATCTCAGTCTTCGGAAGGTTTGCCTTTACTGGTGATTTTCACTCAGTTCTAGCAAAAAGTCAGAAACCATAACTGAGGGAGACAGAATTTCACTGCTCATCAATGGTTTCCCCTTCCAAATGATCTGAATCTTGTTGGATGCCAGAAGACGTGGAGGAATAGGAGAAGAAGAAAGGCAGGTATATTTTCACCCCAAGAAATATCTCTGCTTAATCTAGTTGTCATACTGTTCTACCATTTACCTCAGAACAACAAATTAATTGTGGTGCAACATCAATGTCAACATGAGACACATCTCCATTGAGTTTCAGCTGTTCCTCCTCTTTTTCTTCACCTACATCTTGCTTAATTTGCTCTGACAAATTCTTCTCTTCTGTAGCTACAGTAATTGTATTTTCCTGGACCAAATCTTCAGCTGTAACTTGTGTGTGCTCAACTGGTACATTTAGTTTACTGCCTTCTGGTATGGCTTCCACATGCTGAGTATTTTCTTCATGTTCTTTCCTTTTCATGTCTTCCTCTTCTTCCTGTTCTTCCCTGATGACTTCCTCAATTGCCCTATGATGTGGATGGTATTCTCCCACCTCTTCATCCTCACTCTCACTACTACTGCTGCTGCTGCTACTATCTGATGGCAATGATGAAGAGTCCTTTTTTGACACGTGCTCCACCTTACATGTCTCCCCAGCATCAGTGGCAACTTGCATTTTCCCTTTGTTGGTTTCGTCTACGACTAGTGTTTCTTCTATCCCAAACTCTGCCTGCTTCTTCTCCTCCACTATGTCCAGAGTCTCATGTGAACTCTGCACAAAAAACATGGATGAGGATAAACAAAAAAAAGAGCATATGAATAAATTAAAATGATGAAAATAAAATTAGCCGATAGCTGGTTCATGTCATGTGGAAGACAAAAGATGATTGTGATGGTTAACTGAAAAAAGAAGGAAGGAAAGAATGAAGATGGATCGGAAGACTTAGAGCCAAATTTAGTCACGGAAAAAATCTGCAGAACCTTATCAGCATCGCTGACTCCAGTACAAGGCCCTTCTGCTCTGGAAGCATGTCTCTGTGAAACAAAAAGCAATCAGAGGACAAAAATCAATGCATAATCCTTTTCAACAGTGCAACATCCTCCAAGCAAGCTTTTAAGAATGTATACACAAGATACTAGAGAGATGCTACATATTCACTGCAAGATGCTAGTTGCCTTATTCTTCATCTAAAGATTCAATCAAAAGTAGGTAAGAATTAAGGAATTTATTATTGGTGTAAGAATTGAATTATGAAAGCCTGAAAATAAAAAGCATGAATGTACTAGCCAGTGATGCTATCGAGGCAGTTATTTCTCTCAGTTAAATCAGGAATTAAGAATAAATAATATTAAACAAAATTAAACAGAAAAAGAAATGCTCTACTACCAGTTTGCCATAATTTAAAAAAAAAGTAGAAAAGTGTTATTGCAGGGTTTTATTAGTTTTTTGTCTTTGGTCTGTTACTTTATGCAACTCAATGAGAGGAAGACTGCTTAGGGTAGTGTGTTGTCAGAAGAGCAATAAATGATTACAAAAGAAGGTCCTATAGGAATTCAGTTTGGAGCCAAAAGGATGCTATTAAAGCAGCTTTACTAGTATTTTTTCCATAACAAAGTAATGACAGCTATCTGAAAGCCCGCAGTAAATGACGTATTAAGGTGTCAGATTTTTTTAATCGAGCATACATTTAGCGAACAGTCTGCATCAAAATTAAGAGCCCAAATGAAAAGAATACAAAAATCAACACACCATCTGTGACTTAATCCTAGTTTTTATTGCTGTTTACCTAGCGCAGCACCTACGGAGCGTAACCCTAGCCAAGCACTGATTCCTCCCTGCTTCTGGCGTGCTGCAGATGCAGAGTTACGCTCTGAGGCAGGCACGCCGCTCTAAGGCAGGCCGGCACGTACGGGAGCAGCCCGGACCCGTCCCTGTCCTTGTCCCTGTCCGTGTCCCTGTGGGATCCGTCCCGTCCCCGGCGGGCCCGGCCCGCGCCCGAGCAGCACCTGCGGCCCCGGCGCGGCGGCGCCCGTCTGCTCCCCCGCAGCGCCCTCTGCTGGCCCCGGGCTGGCGGCGGCGAAGGGCCCGCTGGTGCCGGCGCCGAAGCGCTCCTTACTAAACAAAATGGAGGTTATCTCCTCTTCCAGGCTCTAGACGGGTCAGAGAAGGGAAAGGAAAGAATTAGACAGCAGCGGACGGAGCGGCAGCCACCTACAGTGGAGAGGTTGGGCAAGAGAGAGACGTGACAAAGGCAGCGGCTCGGCAGGAGCAGGGGGCGCGGACAGGGGAACAACACACCGTGCGAACGGAGCACATCGACATTCACACATCGACACTCGCACATCGACATTCACACATCGACATTCACAGAAAAAGAAAGACACGGACTTCCCAAACAGCACAGTTTACTTAGCTGCTAACTCCGTATTTACTACTGGGATTTTTTTCCCTTTTAAAATCCATTTCTCATACCTTCTAAAGCCCAGCTGGATCAGAGCTCTAGGGCTGTCAGACATATTTGCTTAGAATACATACCCACAGCGCTGAAATGTTAAAATATTTCTTCTTTATAATAAATTATATATATATATTTAAAATACTTAAATATCCTGAGCAAATTAACGTTGATTAAAGATCTGTTTTCAAAAAGCCTTTCCTATTTCAGTGGGAAAACTTGTATTTTTCAAACATGCATGAAAGATGACACATTGCTTTAAAGCATATGTTCATAATCTGGTCTATTTTCTGAAGGGCTATGAATCTGTATGGTTAAGCAGACTTTGAAAGTTCACGTGGGTACATGCCTTTGAAAAGGCTACAATTCTTTATTCCAGATTTCATCCCACAAGCTCTGTTAAGAAGTTAGAAGTAAAAGTGGTTAAAATAAAAAAGCCAACAACGTACAAATACATAACACGGACATAACACACATGTTGACAACATTTCATGAGATACATTTCAGCCTTCCCGGAGGGCACTACAGAGAATCATGCCAGAAGCAGGCGCCAGAGGAAAGCCGAGGTGCCATGCACACAAGTGCAGCCCTGGTGATGGAGAGTACGAACTGACAGAGGTGACACCACGCTACTGTACGGACACTACAACGCGTATGGCATGCAGAAGAACAGAGAAGGGAAAAGAAAAAGAACCCCTAACTCGGTTTTTTCTTTTCCTACACTAAACTTCAAAGTTTATTTCAATGGTGGCTAAGAAGAGTTAACAGGAATGCAAGTTTTTAAATCTGCCTTCATGCAACATTGAATATATAATAGGGGAATACGTTCCTTACTCCTACTTTCTTTCCCTAGATTACTCCACCCAAGAAACATTCATCTATTAACAGATTATACCAAAAAGCAAAAATGTTCATAATCCTTTTTTCATTGTACTCTGGTGCCTCGTTTTCTTCTCTCTCAAAGCAGTAAAAAAAACCCAAACCCCCAAAAAAAACCGCAGGGGAAAAACAAAATCTTTATGTGGTAGGTGGTCTGACTGTGTGCCTCTCTCTATCCCTGCTCCTCCTTAGATGTATATATATAATTAAAGACAGGCACATATCACCCATCTTTTAGCATTTTCCCACCTTTAACTTTTTGGGTCTTCCAGTCTTTTAAAATGAAAACCCCAGTCACACAATTTGTTTGCTAATGTAACCCCTGTTCCCTGGAACATTTAGTAAAAAGGATTAAATGTATAGTAAAATTCATCAATTTTGTATCAGCCTGTGTTTAAATTCTTGGCAAATTCTTCTGGTAAACAGTCATACACTCTAACATTAAATACTCTTTACAAGCTGTGGGGGATGGATTAAAGAAAAAAATATTGCGAGTATCCATAAAATAGAAATATTTCTCCTATTTGCAATATATATCAATTTGTCAGTTTTTGTTTAATTAAGTCACAGATGCTGTGCACTTGCAGGAGTATGGTGGATCTAGAAGTATAGTGACACAAATGAGATGTACCCAAAATAACATTTCTAGGACACAGAAAATTACTTGTAAGCATTTTCGCTGAAGCAAAAGAAGAAAAAGAATATTAGTGGTGGTATCCCTGCTATATTCTCATTTGTCCTAAAGAACAGGCAAGGATTAACAGGCATCCATCAACAAATAATTCAGGATGGAAACACAGTTCCCCAAATGTCGTATTTATATGTTAGTGAAATAGTACTGCCAGCTTCACATTAACCTAAGAGACCAAAAGTGATGTAAAAAACCAACATCACAATTGCTGCTACTCATCACTATCACACTGCTACCAGTCCCACTGGTTAGAGTGCTTTTCATTGCATAGATGTTACCAGGACAAAATCTCCCTCTTTTCCTTAATGAAAAGAGAGGTACAGGAGTGCAGACGTTTTCAGAACAGGTTGCTTTTTGAAATGAAGCTGCTTACACAGCATTACTGATTTGAATAATCATTACATAGTGAACATACAAAGCAAAAGTTCTTGTGTGAAGTGTCAAATAACTGCAAGCAATTATTTCTGTATAGAATGAAAATACATATTTGCCATCATCCTAGACACATCAAATAGAGTAATTTTCCAGTACTGAACAGTAATGAAACACTGGGTTTCTTTGCAGTGGCCATTCAGAACTTCATGGTTAGTTTGATGTTTAAGTAAAACATTGCTGGCATTCACATATATGTATATCTATACACATATACATACAGAAATCCTGGTTTACAACTCAACATTCTCCTTTCAGTATTGAGTTTAAAAAGTTATTTCCTTCAAGGGAAAAAAAAAAAAGAAAAAGAAAGAAGCGCTCAAGCCACCAAGCTAGCCCACAGCAGATGCAGCGAAAAAGCAGCAGGTTTCAGGGCAGCCACCTTATCGGGTTCCTCTGGTTTTGCTCCAGCAATCCACGGCATTGCACTCCATTGTTTCTCCTTCCCAGGCAGTGTTTTCACTTGGAAAATGTGGTCGCCTTTTTTCTATTTGGTTTTCATTTTATAAAGCCAGTGTAAATCAACAGGAAATGAGACAGACATACACTATACATAAACATAAAACCAAATCATCTGGAAGTGACAGAATATACTAGATGAGCAAAAAAAAAAACCATACTGAACCACCAGATATAAAGTAACTTGCAGGTGTCTCAATTTCAAGAGAAAGAAATCAACACAGAAAATACACACAACCACATAATAAAAATTAACTTACACTTTTACATAAATGTCTGTTTCAACCAAAAATACATTTATAGTTACTAAATTAATCACTGTGTCATGAATGTTTTAAAATATGATGAACATTTGTACTTGGGCATATACAACTGTAGGTAGAAATATTAAGGTACTACTCAGAAATTTGAGGAATTTCTTGCCAGTAACCACAAATTAACAAAATAAAGAAGTGATGCACAGTTAGTTGCTGTGTTCTGTGTATGCACATATTCACAATTCAGATCACTTACAGATCTTACTGAAATAATCAGTCCTATTATCAAAAATAATTTTGTAGCATCAAGCCTGCTTAATTGAAAGTTCACCTTTCTGTGGACTAAAAGAAGCAGCCAAGCCAAGAAAAGTGCCTTGTGTCTGAAATGGTGACTTTCTTTGTAGTGCCTCAAAATAAAAATGTTTAAGACTATAAGGGACCATTCTGGTTTTTTTTTTGGTTTTTTTTTTGTAGTGAAGGTCTTAGTCATGCACTGTTTCTTCCATATTTTAAAGCAAAGGAAAATAATGTTGTACATGGTTTTAGCAAAGAGCTACTTTCATCAAAAACATGACACTACTAGTCCTTTGAAACAACAATTTCCAGGAGCTGTTTGTTTTCCCCTCAAAGTTGTAAAACCAGGTGCAAATATTTCAGGATACTGTGCAGCTAACTTAACTGAAGGTAGCTGTAAGAAAGAATAGTTTAACCCAAGGAGCATAAAAATGCATCTTTTTTGCTATTACAAGCTTCATGAAAATATTTACATCTGTGAACACAATACATCTGTGAACTCCTGCTTAGCTTCAGAGAGACAACATCATTGTGTCTCTCATGTGGGCTTAAACTTACTGGAAGAAT